GATGAATTCAAATTCTCGTTGCCCCTTGCCAGGGTTGTTTTAACGTTTCTCTCATTCCTCCGGCTGTATCTTCCTACTTTAATTAATGTATTCTGTAAATCCAGCAGTAAAGCTGTGTCTTGAGTTTCATGGAGACCTGCCGGGGAGTCCTCCATTTTGGATCCTATTGCTGCCTCCCTCACACACGCCATCATGACAATCATATTACAAAAGCTTTGAAATGGTTGCACTGGCTTCCTGTATGTAAAAGAACTGATTTGGAAATACTGTTAATGGGTCATGATCACTAAACGGTCTTGGGCCTCAACACGTTGCTAACTTACTTGAGGGCTATGAGGCTTCGAAGCCTCTTAGTTCCTCGGGAACAGGCTTACTTAATATTCCAGGAGCTCGGACCAAACAAGCTGAGACAGCATTTAGTGTTTATGCTTCCCTCAAACCTGCAGTGTGTGGAATCTATTAGCTTTTAAAATCAGGGCTGAAATCTTTGTCTTTTGTAGCTTTTATGTTAAATTTTAACTTAAACTTTTAAATGATTGCATTCTTGATTTTAATGTTTTCCTTTTCTATATATTTGGGATTGTTCTGTCTTTGTGAAGCACGCTGAATTGCTTTTGTATGTGTTATATAAATGAAGCTGAGTTTGTCCGATGGATTTTCTTCGATCAGTGATGAATAGTGAGATGTTCTAGCCTTAGAAGGGCTTTTTTACAGGCCTTCAACTGACATCGCTTCAGTCCAGCGCATGCACTTTGGATATTAATATATAAATATATATATATAGATATATAAATTTTATTATTGCAGTCAAGCAGCAGAGTCCCAGTGGTTCTGTATAGCAGTTTATTCACAGTAACACTTTTTACTCCTCAGTTCAAGACATAACAAAAGTTTCAGGCATCGAGACATCTTAACAAAGGAACAAACAAACAGATCATATTTGGCAAAAAGTTTCCAGCCATGCATTTAAGAGACATGAGAAACATAATCAGCAGCAAACACGAGAAGTGACGTGAAGAGAGGAGGTCGCCTCCTTTCAGCAGGGAGACAGAGGAGTTTCAAGGCTCAGAGGATTACTCCGCTGCTGAAAATAGTCCCTCGGATGCTGCACCAGTTTGAACATGGAAGTCCCACAAAGTATCCCTCCAGCTTTTATTGTGAAGGATCAACACTCAGACCAGTGAAACTCATTTCTGCAGCTGGAAAGTAAGCGAACCAAAAACTGCAGTGTACAGATTTCTCCTTTAAATAACACAAAACACGAGAAAAGTGACGCCCATCCTCTCATCGGCCGCCTCTGCTCACTCAGACGTTCACACAGGTAATAAATAAGATAAAACACTTCAGGTGTTTCCCACGCTGGTCTTCAGTCTGAGGGGGTTTCAGTGTTAAAGGAACAGTCAGATTTCTTCCAGAGTCTGAGGAGATGGAGACGACTTTCAAGTCTGTGCATCCAGTACAGGAAGTGAATGTCATTTATGTAGCACCGGCTAACAACTTTGCTCCTGTCAAGGTGTTTTATTTAAGCGTAGAGTATCAGCGAGAACACCTGTGATGGAGCCTGATCTAAAAGCAGCGCCCGTCGGCTGAACCCAAAGCTTCAGAAGATTATTGTGACCGTAGCTGCAAACTACCCAAACTAACGAGCGTCTGAGGCCTGGAGAAAGTTCCTGCTTCGAACGCGTGCTGGACACACAGACCTGAAGCGTGCGTCAGCCTTCGTCTCCGAAGCTTCCTAATGAGCTCGGATCTCAAACTGTCCGACTGTTCCTTTAACTTTCCACAGGAAACCAGCCGAGAAGCTAAGTTAGCCCTCTGACTGCTGAAACCCCGCCCTCACAGAGACCAGCGTGCGAAACAGCTCGTTACTCCCTCAGAGGTCATGAAAGAGCACAAAGAGCAGACCCCGCCAACCCAACGCCCGCCTTCAGGAGGTGCCGTCTCTCACTGCGATGCTGATGTTCAAAGGTAGTCCCGGCAAGACCGGCGTCCTCTGCGCGGGGTTCAGTGGGCGGAGTCAGTTGAACGCCTCCTTGTTGATCCACATCAGGGTCCGCGTCTCGTTGGGCTTGCACTCGTACTCGATGCTGCTGAACTTGTTGCCAAACTGGCAGTGCTCCCTCTTGTAGTAGTTGTAGTATTTGGCCTGCCACACCGTCTCAAACGTCCCCGCCTTGATAAACTGCACCGAGACACAAAGCAGAGGGCTCGAGCTCAAATTCGGCGTCAGGCTTTTAAAACACGTTTTTGGTGTTTCTAAAGAGGCCAAACTCATGAATCCAGACGGCGAGCGCAGCCATCTGCTGACAGGAAACTGCACAAACGCGTCTGATTGTAGATCTATAAATCTGTTACGCCTGTGCAGCTGTCACACGGTGATAATACCACCTTAGATTATATTTGTTCTCTCGAGAAGTATAAACAGGTCAGGAATTTAGATGCAAATCCGTCTGTTTCTGAACACGTCCTCTCTGTTTGCTCAGGTTCCTGCGTAGAAACACACGAGGTGAATAAGCTGCTCAGGCTGTTTAACACCACTGATTTACTTTGAAATGCTGCACAAAGTGTGTGTTTGGAGGCGTCTCCTAAACTGTCCAATGCTTTTATGTGTTTTTATTGGAACTACACAGGCTCTCGTCTCTGAGTCTGACCCCTCGGTCTCAGTCTTGCTCTGCTGTCACTCTTTCTTGTTTAGAGGATGTTGTTGGCCACCTGAGGCCCTCTGGTTCTCCAGATCATCCTGTCCCTCCACCATGTTTTAAGGAGATTGTGGCTAGCATAGAGCAGGCTGTTCAGGCTATCATAAACAGCATGCTTGCTAATTCTAAGCGTGCAGCCCCACACAGCACTGGCTGACTGCAGGCCAGCTCCACGCTATCAGAGCGAGCCGCTGCTCTGAGACATCTCACCTCTATGCTGACTTGGACGGGCTGCCGGTCGCCACTCTTGGTGTGCGGGACGCCCTCGGTGTCGTACTGGCCGTGGTAAACCACCGACTCCTCGTCCCTGGACTGCTGCTCCAGCGGGAAGACGACGCCTCCGATGTTCATGTTGCTGTGAGGAAGAAGAGGCCGAAGGGTTATGCACGAAAATAAAAATATTGCACATTTTGATCATTTTTGACATTTTGTCTCAAACACTGTTAAAGACCGTTTGATGTCCAGCAGCGAGCCGAGCGTGTGACGTGAGAGCGACTCCCACAGTATGAAGGAAACAGGAAACAGCCACTCGCATCTAAAAGTCATTAAAATCATCCAGATGTGTAAATGCTGCGAAACGCTTCATAAACGCTTCGGTGGATTTAATTTGTAATTAAAATGTAATTATAGTCACACAGCATAAGGAGAAAAGGAGTCAGGTTACCTCAGAATCGCAGACGTGAATTTACTGTAAGCACATTGGAATAGTTCGCATCCCTGCAGCTCACAGCGTAAACACAGCGCATGTTGAACTGCACATTTGGATTTGCTGTTCTTTATGCTGATGATAACGGCTGTCCTGACCAGCTTGTTTCCCTTTCACACTCCTCTCCTGTACGATACCTGCAACCTGAAAAGTGCAGCGCACTCAGGTGTGTGTACTTCCTGTCGGCCTCCACCTGTGTGTCCTCCCTGTTTGTGTCAGTTTGGAGTTTTCCTTTCATGTCTCTCGTTTACCCACGAAGCCTGTTAACCTGCTACCGTCACCATGGTAACTGATGCTGAACACCTGAAGCAGAGTGTAACGTCAGTGTGGGACTCACTGCTGCTGTGACAGGAGGTCCGCCCCCTCGCTGTGGGCGGATCTTTACTCTCACAGTTACAACGATGGCTCCTGCAGGGCCCACAAATCACTGCCACATATCAATATGCACCTTTATTTAACTGATAGTACTTCAGTGTTTTTACATGTAATGGAGTATTCTCTGATGGTATTTCTGCTCCTGCAATAAGCACATTTTACCCCCGTTATTCCATAATGAACACGTCACTTCCTTTATTTGTCCCCGGTAACCGCAAACCTCCGCCCTGACCGGGAACGACACGTGATCCCCGCATGATTTATTCAGGCAGGTGTCGGATGCTCCGGCCTGCAGGCGGAGCAGCAGCCTGCTCCTCATCATCACCTCTTGCAGACGTTCTTTATCATTTCTCGCACATGCGCGCTACCGTTCCGCACACACAGGTTACCGAGATGCTTACGTGGCCTCGACGTTTCCAGGCTTCAGCACCACCTCGATCTTGTACTTGGAGCCCGTGAGGAGCTTGATGGTCCGGCTCTGGCCGAACCGGGTCCCGTCCACCTTGAAGAAGACCGGGCCGTCGTTGGGCTGGATCCGCAGCGCGATGGAGATGTTGATGATCGGGGGGACGTCGTCCATGTCGCCGAGCTCAGGGAGGGGGAGGCGGACGGGTGAGAGAGATGCTGAGGAAGGACCAGAATCAAGCTGCACGCTCACACGGCTTCCGGTGACAGCTGCTTTCAAAATAAAAGACTGCAGCTGCAAATACCAAGGCAAATCTATGTGTGTGTATGGGGGGGTCAATAAATGTCACCGGTGGGCTGTTATTAAAAAAATAAGTTTATCTGACAGTCGGGAAATTTGTAAAAGGTTAAAAACAAAAGAACAAGTTTAACGAAGAGCTTGTGAAACTGAATGTGACATAAAACAGGTTAGACAGAAAAACACAACACCTGTGCACGCGCAACATGACGTCACAGGCAGGAAATGACCGGGAGATGAAAAAATGTTCACACCGCTGCCGGTAAAACGCTGCCCCCTCGTTGCCAAAGCAACATCTTTGTTACCTTTGAGCAAAAACGTTAAAAACAGATAAAAACAGCTGATTTCAGTAAACTTGAGGTCCCGCGTGTCCGTAAGCTGCAGGTGCGACTTTATGCTTTTATATCTCTGCTGCTTTGAAAACAGACTGTCACACTGATGTCTTTGTGAGTCTGTGCTGCGTGTTTGCTTGATGGGAGAAGCTGTGATGTGTCATTAAAAAGAACCGAGTCAGCAGAACCTCACAAAGATGGTTTATTGAATCATCGTCATATTTACACGAACCCAAAACAAAAAGGCTCAAATTTAAAAATAAAAAATTCACTTTGCTTCTCTGTGATTTTTTTCTATAAAAATTTTAAAAGTATGTACAAAAGTTTGCGTTTCCTGTGAAACACAAACTGCAGAGGGAATATATTAGAGTTAAAAATCCGAAGTGCTCGAGGTGCTTTGATAAAACTGGAACGCCGTCATCGATCCAGCTCGGCCTGCAGGATCTCGCCCCAGGTCTCCGCGTCCAGCGGCGTCAGCTTCCTGCCGCTCAGCTCGTCCGCCGACCTCACGTGGCTGAACCGTCCAATCAGCCAGTCTTTCTTCACAAGGCTGCGGATGTAGTTCCTCACCAGGATCAGCTGAGGACAGGAAACAGGAAATGGTCAGAAAGCAGTTCTGCTGTTTCTGGGTGACGCTGCTTTCATAAGCTGGACTAAAAGCAGTTTTTAATAATGACATTAAAAGAAATGGCTGCAGCGTGAGACATGTGGACAAGTCTTCACTCCGCTCTGTTTCACAGGCAGAACTAACAGTTGTAATGTTATGAGTATATCCAACACTTCAGCCACAGGTTCTGCCCCTCAGCAGCCTTCCAGCAGAAGCCCAATCAGACGAAAGCTGATGGCTCTCAGAGCTGCTTCATCCCAGCAAAATAATTCCCAGCTGACTGTCACTATTCCAGGCCAGGGATCCTTTGGGGAAATTATTCAAAATTTCAGCTCAAACAAAGGGCGAAGTGTTCTTAGACATTTTTCCAACAATATATTTTGAGGGACTTAAAGCTTGAATATGAAAAGAAAACAACAACATGTCTTCAGCGTGACGTTCCACAGGTGTGACACCGTGGACCAAACCTAACTTCATAGAACGTTTCTGTGAAACCTGCATCCCAAGTTTGTGATGCTTTTTGGAATATTCAGGATTTGATGTGCATAAATCAACTCGTCTGATACGAAAACCTGGAGATCAAATCTCAGCTCTGACCTGCAAACCTGCTGACACAGGTCACGTGACCTTCATCAGTATCAGATCCCTCAGAAAAACATCAATGGAAAAATGTTTAAAACCTCTGACCTTCATCCCTTTTTGACTAATGACAGCAGGACCTGAAATGAGCGTAGTTCCTGTTTGAAGCAGATCATTAACCTGGAAAAGTTTCAGAAGAATCTGAGATGTTTTCTAAGTTTAATGACATAATATGTTAGGAACCTTCCAGGAGAGGCCGTGTCTCCGGTCGCTGTCGACCTCCCTCTGGCAGATGGCTCGGACCATCAGGCACTGCTTCCTCCACAGCTGCTCGCTCTGCTCGATGATCTGATGCCACAGCCTGCAGGTCCTCGCCGCGCTGCACAGGCTCGCCGCGTCCAGCTCGCCAAAGATCCTCACGCTCATTTCTGTCGGCAGCATCTCAGCAAAGTTGCGAGGTGGGGCTGTGCCTTCGGCTGCCGTCAGGGCGGGGCTTCCTTCACAGAGAAAAAACACCGGTGGAGTCCTCCCACACACATGCTGCATAATAGAGTCGGACTGAGTGGAAGAGCCTGAGGAAAGAGCCGACAGCGATGGAGAAATGAGTCACAGATTAAAGACCTCAGACTTAACTCACTGTGGAGGTCGAGTGAAGGATGAAGACAAATCACAGTGAAGCCTGAGATTCTTCATCAAACATGTTTCAAAGCACAGACGCAGGAAAAGCGAAATAAAATGCAGGTTTGTTTTTTATGACATCACAAAGACAGAAAGGTTCAAGATGAGCCTGTGAGCTGAAAAAGAGACAAAATGACTGAAATGAGCGAGAAAAGAAAGAAAAAGACCTCCGAGAGAGTAGCGACGAGAAGATCCAGCTGCCAAATAATGAAGACGTCACACAAAATAAGCAGAAAAAAAGCGAAAAGTTTGGAAACCAGGACACAAAGGACTGTGAGACGAACCAGAAAGATTCCGCGCAGAGAAGGTGAAGGGCTCCCACGTCAAACCGAAAGAGAAACACGAACAGTGGGGTCCCCACGGACCCAGCCTGGAGACGTCACCCAAGCACAAACTGCTTCCCGTGTCGGTCTTCAAAGACAGACGTGATAAATATCCCCGTTGTTTCCGTCCTGCGTGGCTCTTTTGGCCGACGCTCTGATTTTCGGTAACAAAAGCTGATTTTAATGCTTCACCCCGACCACTCGCCTCCGCCCCTGCTAACAGCTAACAGCTAACAGTTCATGAAAAACTCCACCGGCCGCTTCCGCGTTCAGACCGAACACCGACTTTTACCGTGCACGTGTCCCGGTGTGTGTGATAAGAAGGCGGCGGCGCGCGAGAGAAAACCGGTGTCTTACCGTCCGCGAGGTCTCTGACAGACAGCTCACACGGTTTAAATGTCCTAACGGATGTTTACAAACGTACGCTACGTCATCATATTTTGATTTTTGGCGCATGCGTGCAAGGCATAAACGTCCGTTAATTTAAATTTGAAAACCGTTGAAAATATGATTTTCTTAATTTTCTAATTATAAAATTAAACTGTAAAGCATTTCTGACGCTGCAGTTCTAAAGCAGTCCCTACCACACCCCATTCATTAATCTGCCGATTCTTCAAATATATGGAAAATGTGGAACTTTTTTTACGTTTGTTTGTATTTTTCATCGATAACTCACGTGCAACAACGCTGTCATATTAAAAGCATTTCGGCAGAAGAGATAAATGTTTTGTTTTTACAGATTAATTTCATCTGCATACACAGGGTGGTTAGCACAGGCAAGGTTAGGTTTATTTTTAAGGAAGATTAATAAAAGATCAGGGAGATTCTGGGCGGAGTTCGGTGAGTGACGTCAGAGACCCAGTGCGCACGCTCCGCTCCAACCCGGAAGTTTTGAACGGTGTTGCTGAGCTGAAGTTGTGTCGGTGCTGCTGCTCGGTCTGGTTCCCCTCCACAGTCCGAGAAGCTGCTTTTAACCTGAAACCTTTTGAACTGTCGAAGCGTGGCGCTGCTCTGTTTTCCTCCACGTTCCTCCAGCGGGGTGCAGCTGCCTCCGTCCGCTCCGCTGAGCCGATGTCTGGCTTCGACCTGGTCCCGGTGGACGGCGGGGATCCGGTCCACCTGCCACCCGGAGAGACGGTGTTGGGCCGGGGCCCGTTACTGGGAGTGAGTCCTCCTCTCCTCTTCAGTCTGAAAACATGACCGCGGATCATTTACAGACTTCTGCTCGTTACAGCAGCACGTGATCTTTAATCACGTGATACATCCAGGGAAGCTTAGCTTCACTTAAAAACATGATTTAAACCTCATAACTAATCAATAACAAAGTGACCAGACATGATCAGGTGGATCACTGATCTGCCGACGTAGAGAGGGCGGGGCTTCATAAGCTAGCACCTTGAACTTTGACCCTCCTCCGTCCTCCTGCCAGATGCTGCTCAGGTGTATCCTTTAAAACAGGGGAGGGGAATGCAAAGCCTCGAGGTCCAGAGGTGTCCTTCATCCATTCATTTAAATGGCCTCCAGTTCTCCAGAGGCCTGGTGATGAACTAATCATCTGATCCAGGTGTGTTCACCCAGGGTGAGATCTAAACCCCACCCCTGCTTTATAAGGCTACAACGGGCCACTGTGCAAAAGTCTTGAGCCACCCATCATGTCTGTATAATTTGACCTGTTCCTGTTTAAAAAAACAACTTAAAAAACATGAAATAAATGAAACTAAAGTCCACAGAAGAAAAAGTTCTAAACATGTTTGATCTGACCCGTCAGAGACAGCAGCGTGTGTGTTCGTGGACTCTGTTAGAGCAGCTCAGCATCATCACAGTGGGAAATGATCCGTCATGTGGGCGTGGCTTTGATGCAGCTTTTCCCTCTCTTGTTTTTCTGTCGTTGTCCTGAGACCTGGTTTGCTTCCCTTCATTCATCACGGCTGAGCTTGAGTCTGTTTGATTTATTCAGAGTAATACTGTAAAAGGAGCAGCTGGAGACGTCTGTAAACGCTGCCTTGTTTCCCGTCTCAGATCAGTGATAAGCGAGTCTCCAGACACCACGGGCTGCTGGACAACCTGAGCGGAGAGCTGCGCCTCAAAGCCGTACGTTCGTCCTTCCTCCTGTTCCTGAATGTGAGGCAGGCCACAGGTTTAGGTTTAGATTTCTTATTACATTAGCTTTATTACATAATCATTTTATTATTCAACATTATAGTAAATATAGAAGTGTGGTTGTTTCATATCATAGAAATCTCCCTTTGCTTTAAATTCAGCCTTGGTCCCTGTTGCTTTGGCAGATTTTGTTTTTAATTCCATTATTATTATTATTATTATTATTATTGTTGTTGTTGTTGTTGTTGTTGTTAGTGTTGTTGCTGTTTGAGTTTCGGTTTAACCTCCTGCTGTTTCGGTCCTCAGACACACCTGAACCCGTGCTTCATTCAGTCGACCCCCACCGATGACCCTCGACCTCTGCAGAAAGGTTCCTGGCACGTCCTTCGTCACGGAGACTTCTTCTCTCTGCTGCCGGGTCGGTTCATCTACGAGGTGGTGTCAGTGGGCGGAGACGAGCGCACGCCCAGGTACTTCTGACGTCTGAAAAACGCTCCTTTCTGTCCTGATGTCGGTCGAGACAAAGACTCGAACCGTCTCGCTGAGTAATGAAGGTGGAGGCTGCTCTCAGGTAACGAGAGCTCTTTTATCTGTGCGGGCCGCGCCATGCGGGGTTAAACGCTCGGTCAGAACATTAGGCGCAGCGTAGGTTTCCGATTTTGTCGCGCTCTTTGAAGCTGACATCAAAGTTAATGCTTCCAGCTCGCAGCGTTAAGGTCTCACAGAAGTTCACATTTATCTGCATCAGTGTCGCTCCCCACAGGAACAGCCAGATGTTAGAAGAAGAAGAAGAGACACTTCCTGTTCCTCCTGATCCAGCTGTGGATCTACGTCCAGCTGCCAGACTGAACCAGGAGGAGCCGCCGCCGTCAGCAGCTCCGCAGGAAGACGAGGAGGCCGAGAGACCGTTCAAGGTAGGCTGAACTTTTCAGAGACGAGAAGCTGCTGGAGAAGGACTCCTCAGGGGGCGGGGCCGAAGAGTGACGTCAGCAAGTGTGAATATTTAATCAAGGAGGCGCTTTCAGAGTGCAGGGTTAATGTGATGTGACAGAAACATGAAACTTTAGAACAGTTTGTTTTTTAACAAAGTTATGAGACAAACAAACACTGACAGAAATAATCATCATCAGAACAGGACTTACTGTAAGAATAAAGGAAACTTTGGTTGACAGCAGCTCCTCCCTCGTTCACCAGGGGGCGCCACAGCAGGCGGCTTCACATGTTTGATCCCACAGTGGGCGTGTCAGTGGCTCAGTGGATGGCAGTGTGAAAGCGAGCAGCCAATCAGTGAAGTCGTCTCGTTGCGTTTCTTTCAGGGAGACTCGGCAGGATCGGTGAAAGACGATCAGCGAGGCGCCGCTCCGTCTGTGACCAGGAGAAGAGTTTTACCTGCATGGATGCAGGCGGCTGTACCTGCTGCAAAGACTCCGCCCTCCATCCCGACAGGTAACAAAGACCCGTCCTGTGTTCCCTCTGCCTGCGGGGGGCGCCCTTTCTGATCCTGTTATTTGTTTGAAAATGTCTGTTTAGTTCGGACCTGCCGACCTGCAGCGCCGTCACCTGCCACTAAACGAGCAGCTGTCGCACGAGCCACGCCCGCAACAACCTCCTCACCTGAGGAGGCGGAGTTCACAAGGAAGGAGGAGGAGAGGCCGAGGAAGAGGAGAAAACTGAGTGATGACGAAGAACAACCTGAGGTGAGACCTGTTGAGCAGAGTTTCTGTTTCCAGGTTTAAATTCCGCCTCCTGACCTAAGAGACTAATATGTCCTCTGGCTTTCAGGAGGCCGCCGCCCACCGTCGGGCTAAACCGAACAGGTCTGAGGACAGCGACGAGAACGACAGCTTCACCATGAAGGCAGAAGCGGAGGACAAAGCAAATGAGTCTGAGAAGGAGGGCAAGATGTCTGAAAACAACGGCACGTCTAAACGAGCCGAGCCCGCCGGGTCAAATGGAGACGCCGAGTCTGGCCCCGCCCCTTCCAAAGCCCGAGTCAGAACGCCGTGTCCGTACGGGACGGCCTGCTACAGGTACGACACTGAAACACACGGAGTCACAGGCTGAATTTATTCTGAGAGCTTTTGCTTTGATGTCTCGTTTCCCTCTGAAGACGAGCTGAAGAGCACTCGAGCCGATGAGGTGCGTCAAGCGCCTCTCGTAGCCCCGCCCCTTCACCATCTCACAGATGCCGCTCGCTGCCTCAGATTAGTCCTTCAGATTTCACTTTTAGAAAAAGCTTTGAAACAAGGAGCAGCTGTCCTCACTGCAGTGACTCCAGCAGCTGGTCCCAGCCCACAGTGTGGTGCAGGCTGCATAGCAAACAGCTGCAGGTGACCGCCCTGCACAGGTGGGCTTCACACCCTTCGTTTCCTCCCTGCTTGTGTTTTCCAGGAAGAACCCACTTCATTTCCAGGACTGCAGTCACCCTGGAGACACAGACTACGAGGAGGAGGAGGAGGAGGAGGAGGAGGAGGACAAACCCGAGTGTCCCTACGGCAGCGACTGCTACAGGTTAGAGCTGAGCCGACGGCCGAGGCTCTGCAGCTGCTGACAAACAGCTGGATCAAACAGACACCAACGAGGAGCCTCAGAGATCACACATCAGGGTTTAGTTACTTAATAACTGCCTGCAGCACATTGTTGCTGTCAGAGAACACAAAGCTATTGATTTGATACTTTTTCTGTTTTATCTTCTTTTTATTGACTTTATTTCATTTAGTGCTTTTTAGAAAAACTGCAAACGAACGTTTTTGTAAAAACTGAGGGTCACTGCGAAGGACACACACACACACACACA